TACCACCCCCGATGCTTCTTTGCATTCGTAGACTCATGGCCCGGTATTTGCACAAAACCCTTTGTGTAGCTCCCTTCTGAGGAACAAGGTTTCTCACAGTGTCCCTTCAGCGGGGTCAGAGAATTCCCCCGTGGAATGCTTTCATAGGCTTCCAGCTCAAAACGTTCCTCCTCTCTCTGAAGGGAGGTGGGGGAGGCGTGATGTCCCTTTGGCCAGCGTAGATGTCTTAATTGTGCGATCAGGGCAAGCTATGCTCGTTTTCCTTCCTCACTGGGTCATTTCCACTTCAGTTCTGAAAATAAAAAACAATTGGTTAAAAAAAAAAAAAAAAAAAAAAAAAAAAAAAAGAGCCTTCCTGACTGAACCTTGGATCCCCTTTGAATTTGGACAAGAAATGCAGGCTGTTCCCACTCCTCTTCCCTTTCATTTCCTAAAGCTGGTTCAAGGTCACCTGAGAGTCAGGAATAACATGTGCTCTCCTGGCGCGACCTCATGAGAGTGCCCCCCTGGAATGGCCCCTACCACCTTCTATGGGGAAATCAGGGGTGAGCAGGCTCTGAGTCTGAAGCCCTGAGCCCAACCAGCTCTGCCGTTGAAAGATCTTGGACGGGATAGACTGCCTCTTAGAAGCTTTGGATCTCTAAAGCAGCGTTTTTCAACCGCTGTTCCGCGGCACACTAGTGTGCCGCGAGATGTTGCCTGGTGTGCCGTAGGTGCAGACAAGACAAGAATTTTATAATTTTTCACTATTTTGTTTACTTAATATTTCATAATAAAGTAATTATAAAATACTTTCTTTGTGTTTATTTGATTCCTATTCAAGAGAATTACTTTATATATAGTCAATATAGGCACAGAGTTAAATTTTTTAACATTTTCTAAAGGTGGTGTGCCTCGTGATTTTTTTCATGAAACAAGTGTGCCTTTGCCCAAAAAAGGTTGAAAAACACTGCTCTAAAGCATTGAACAAGAATAATAGTATTGCCCAGCCAGTGTGGCTCAGTGGTTGTGCCGATCTGTGAACCAGGAGGTCATGGTTTGATTCCTGCCCCTTTGCAGGCTCAATCCCCAGGAGGCAGCTGATCCAATAATTCTCATCATTAATGTTTTTATCTCTCCCCTCTCTCTCCCTTCCTCTCTGAAATCAATAAAAAATATTTTTTGGCCGAAACTGGTTTGGCTCAGTGGATAGAGCGTCGGCCTGCAGGACTGAAGAGTCCCAGGTTCGATTCCAGTCAAGGGCATGTACCTTGGTTGCAGGCACATCCCCAGTGAGGGGTGTGCAAGAGGCAGCTGATCAATGTTTCGAGCTCTCTATCCCTCTCTCTTCCTCTCTGCAAAAAATCAATAATATATATATATATATAATTTGGGGTTTGTGAGGATGAAATGTTATAAAGAGCTTCTCAGAGCACCTGGCACCTGGTAAGTTTCCAGAAATGGTAGGATTTCTTCCGCTCGTCGGCTGCCCCTCACCTCAGCACAAGTCCAAGGTGCTACCTTTCTCCAGGTGCTACCACCTGGTCCTCACAGTGTCTCTGGTTCATGAACCTGAAACACGGAGAATGACATTCACCTTCACCGCGTGAGTTCTCCCAGCTAGTGAGGGAGGGGCCTCCCCCTAAAGAACCGGAGCGAATCCACGCTCAACCCCGGAGCCTGGGTGCCTGAGAATGTCTCCATTTCCGTGGCATCTCCTTTCGTAGGAGGTAGAAAGCCTTTCAATGCCCGGGATCCAGGAGGAAGGAGAGTCAGAGGGGAGGAGCAGGGGCTGCAGCCAAACGCACCTTTACCTGCCTCACTTCCCACACATCTGGGGGCCAGTAGGAGAGCAATAGGAGCCGAAGAATTAGAGTTAAAAAAAAAAAAAAAAATGGAGAGTCCTGGTTTTAAATCCCTCCCCAGCCTGTCAGCCAGGGCAAATAGCTCTCCTCCCCGAAGCTGGAGGCTGTCATTGTGAAAGGTGACTCCTTGGGAGCGATACCGCCGGGAGGGTCCCATGGGACGCGGCGCGGTGGGTGCGGAGGCGACGAGGTGCTGGCGGGGAAGGAACATCGCAGCCTCCTCCCCCCACAGCCACAGGCGGTCGGGTCGGCCGGCCTCCTGCGGGGCCAGATGGAGCTCGCTGAGCCACCCTCTGGATTCCACCAGGCCAGGGACACAGACAGCCCCATCTCTGCGAGGGTCCAGCGCCGGCGCTGAGAGCTCCCGGGCTCATCCCTCCCCGAGCTGGGGCCGGTTTAGTCACCAGTGTTGCAAACCCGTTTCTGTTTCTAAAAAAAAAACAAACGATTGCCCTGCAAAGAAAAGAGGACACCAGAAGAGATTCAAAGAAGAGAACCCAAGTTGATGTTTGTGTTTGTTGCCATGGGACCAGGTTCAACTGTATACAGATGTAGTTGGGTTTCTTTTCTTTCTTTCTTTTTAATTAAAAAAACTTTCAAGTTGTGTACTGCAATAGACAAAGATTACGCCATGTTTGTGTTGCAATGTTGCTATGGAAGTGCATATGGTTTTATTTGGTGGAAATTTGCAGAGAAATCGAAGGAAGTCCTACGTATGAATGACAAACAAAAACGAGAAGCTTCGGAAAACAGGCTCTCCCCCCCCCCCCCCCCCCCAACAAATATTGGAATTGAGAAGGCTCTTGACTGTGCCTTACCATCTGGACCCACAGGAGTCATGGGTGCCACTTCACCTGCCTGGGCCCTGCGCCAGGAGGCAGGGGATCGGAGCCAGAGCCAAGGATGTAACCAGTATGCCGCTGGCTGCCTGACCTTTGCTTTCCAATCTCTGAAACAGGGAGCTATTGCCCTGTTGTGCGCGGCTATTGCTGAGAGGAAACAGTATAACATGCCATGAGTCCCGTTCCTAGCAAGTGCTCAATAACATGGTAGCCACTCTTATGGAGTGGTGTTAGTAGCCCCAGTTATTGCTCCAAGAGTGTAGTGGCATTCACCAAACTATCTGGGGCCTTAAGCGCCAGGTACTTTCAGGTGTTGGTTTTGTGGACAGTTATCATCAAACTGGATGGTCATTGAAAAACAGACTTCAGCCGAAACTGGTTTGGCTCAGTGGATAGAGCGTCGGCCTTTGGACTGAAAGGTCCCACTTTCGATTCCGGTCAAGGGCATGCACCTTGATTGCGGGCACATCCCCAGTAGGGGGTGTGCAAGAGGCAGCTGATCAACGTTTCTCTCTCATCGATGTTTCTGACTCTATCCTTCTCTCTTCTTCTCTGTAAAAAAATCAATGAAATATATTTAAAAAAAAAAAAAAAAAGAAGAAGAAGAAAGAAAGAAAGAAAAACAGACTGCAGATGTCAAAGGAAATGAAGAGGCTGCGTTGCAGCAAGTTGGTGACACTCGGCCTCTGGCTCTGATCCCAGGAACAGTGGTCTAGCCCCTCAAAGCTCCAGCCCCTCTGAGAAGACAGAGGACCCATCTCCAACATCCTTACACCTACTCCCCACTCTGAATGCACACTTTTGAAGGGCTGGATAGTTATCATCGTAACATTTTAAAATCTTCAAAAAAAAAAAAATCTTCCTATAAGTCTTCAAGTAAATTCCCGTGGACTGAAATCTTCCAGGGACGTAGAACTCCGTATACACTTTCTGTGTGGCTTGCACTTTGAAAGATTCACAGACTCGGTGGAATGCCGTCTGGCCCAGCCTCACCCCAGCTCCCCTCTCCAAGACACACAGTAGAGGTTGGCAAACCACACTGAGAACTTGTGCCAACTTTAATCAAGTTCCTGGATATATCTGGGCCTCTGCTTTCTGATCTGGAAAACGAAGGTGCTGGATTAGGTGATTCCTGAGATCCTTCTAGACCTATATATGTCATTCATCTATTCTGAATAGAATACAAGAGGTCTCTTTCAGCACTCTAGACTGTTGATGTTCTAACCTACATTAGGAATCAATGAGAAGTCTGTATCCTCTCTCAAACTGGCATTCTAGTTTTTCTTAGCCCCTTGAAGGGCCCTCAGAAATTTAAATATACTCGTTCCCTTATGGTTTTCATGGGCATGCCTCTCTTCCTTGCCCCAAACCGGGACTCTCAATTGGGCAAATGGCACTTCCCCCTGCCAGGGCTGACTGAATGGACCTTTGTCTTTGCATCTGCTTGTTCAACACCTTCATTAGGACTCATGTCACTTTTTAAAAACGAATAAAATTGTGAAAAGGGGGAGGGGGACCTAACCAACTTTGTTTTTAAACTACAAACCCATAGAACGTTGTCATCATGCTGTGTATAATTCAATTGAAGTTTTTTTTTCTATCTATCTGGCAAAATTAAGGGACAAATATTTGCTCACTCATTCCATGTTCACTCATTCAGTTTACATAACAGAATGGCCAAGGTGTGTGTTTAGACAGAATATGTGTGTGAATCTCTTTTTATACGTGCTTCTTCTCTAGGACCCTAAACTTGAAAAAAAAAAAAAAAAATGTCTGCCGTGAATGGTTAATGGTACCAGTCACCTCATTGATGTAATAAATATTGCCTCACACTTTAAGGACATTAGCATATTTAACTGGCTAATGATTTCTGTGTGTCTAATAATAGGATTACTAATGACTTTCAAAGGCCATCATTTTTTCCCCTTTTTTCTGCCTTCTTTCCCCTCTCATCCCCCCAACTATTTTGATTTTGGGTTATACATAGACTGAGGCGTGGGAATGAAGGTCAGCTCATCATGGCTCTGCTCCCAGCTGTGCCGTAAACCAGCTGTGTGACCTTAGACTAGGGGTGTAAAACTCAATCAGAGAAGGGGCCAAAATCTAAAATCCAGCCTAAATCGCGGGCCAAATGGTTTACTGAACAGTCATAAACTGTCATTGTGATGGAAACGCAGCGGAGTGCAGTGATGACAGCGCGGTGCGGGCCACATTGCAAGGCCTGGCGGGACGGATTTGGCCCGCAGGCCTTGTGTTTGACACATGTGCCTTAGACAATCCTCTTATCCTTTTTGGACCTCGGTTTCCTCATCAGGACCATCTCTAAGATAACCTTCTGATTAATGGTCAAGAATCCTGCAATCCTTGAGCAGCCTGCAGAGGTTATCTGCTTCCAGCTACTGTTGACTCCTGGAACTTCTTTTCACAGGAGACCGATTCTCAGACACCTGCCCAGCTCTGAAATTCCTTGACCCTTGCCCTCGATGCCGTTCTCCCAGGAATCAAGGCTGAAGCTTTTGCGCAGACTGGGATTCTGATACCCCAGAGTCAGTAAGAACCTCTTTCCATCTCAAGACTAATCGAGAATGATAACCCTCCCAAGGGCACACAGGTCATATTTCCTGTGTGTTTGCTCTGTCGCCCGATGTTTGCTTAGCTTCTGTTCAGTCACTGAGGATTAACATTCCTTTTTTTTTCTTTTTTCTTTTTTGCCCTCTTCAGATTCCAGCCAGTTGAGCTTGGAGGCCCCTATGAAAACCTTCCCTATGCCATTCCTCCTCTCCATTCTTTTCTCCATAAATAGAGAAGAGGTCTTCTGGGGTTCATGCAATGAAACCTTCCAGGGCAAGGCTCATGTGGGGAGAGGGAATGCAATGTGCCAAAGCAAGAAGCGCAGTATTGTTCTGGCAAAATAGTCTGCCAAAGGGCAGGGTGCATCCTTTGCCTCCCCCTCTCCTGCTGGGCCCAGGGCAGGCCATATGTGGTGCTCGGGGAAAGGCCCTTCTGACTGGGTGAACCACAAGAATGCAGTCCTGTGTGCTGCCTCCCGAACCAATCAGGGCAGGGATGATTGGTTCCACACGGCTGTGTAGATTGGTTCTACTGCTTAACTGCTCCTACTGGAACTAGATGCTCCTGTCAGACTAGGGATGAGAGTGAGGTTGGGGACTGGCTTGACAGTTTGGGAAACACAGGTTGGACAGTGTGTCCAGCTTTGCCTTGTTTGTACCTTGTTCCTGCCCTGTGTATTATGCTTCCTTTCCCCCACTGGCACTTGGTCCTGAGTCTTAGGGCGCAAGAGAGCATACAGATTGAACACATTAGCTACATCTCTTTTCTTAGACCCTTTGCTGATATTAGCTAAAGCTGCTTCGCTCTTTATTTAGAAAGAGTTTTGACTCTGCTTTCAAAGTAACATTTGCAAACCAGTGCTTTGTCATGATTCCTTGTGTTTAGGGAATTAGAGTTGAGTTCTTGGCTGAGTGGATGACGCCTCAAGAAGCATGTCTTGCCCCACTGGGGTGGCTCAGCGGTTGAGAGTCAACCTATGAACCGGAGATCATGGTTCAATTCCTGGTCAGGGCACATAGCCCCGTTGTGGGCTCAATACCCAGTGTGAGGCGTGTAGGAGGCAGCTGATCAATGATTCTCTCTCATCGATGATGTTTCTTTCTCTCTCTCCCTCTTCCTTGCTCTCTGAAATCAATAAAAATGTGTGTGTGTGTGTGTGTGTGTGTGTGTGTGTGTGTTTAAAGGAGCATGTCTTTTTTTAAAAAAATATATTTTATTGATTTTATACAGAGAGGAAGGGAGAGAGATAGTTAGAAACATGGATGAGAGAGAGTCATCGATCAGCTGCCTCATGCACACCCCCTACTGGGGATATGCCCGCAACCAAGGTACATACCCTTGACCGGAATCGAACCCGGGACCTTTCAGTCCCCAAGCCGACGCTCTATCCATTGAGCCAAACCAGTCCCGGCCAAAGGAGCATGTCTTACTGTGGCTACAAAGATGCTGACCAGAAGGAAGGCTGCCCTCTCCTCACTCCAATAGGACTTTCTACACAAATCTCCACAAAGGCTTTTCGTCATTAGCTACAGGTGAATGTTGGCTCTCTGCCAACTCTTTAAGGCATTTACAAAGCTTTTTAGAGAAGCCCAAGAGCTGTGAGGGTGAGGCTGAGAGGACATACATACCAAACCTCAAGCAAGCAGGGGAAGTCCCAGCAGCAGCAACAAGGGACTTGACTTCTTCAAAGGTACCATTAAGCATCAGCTGAAATTTGGTGTCATGGACGAATCTCACCAGCATAATGGTGAATGAAATTAGCCAGGCTTTCGAGTATGAAAGTATGATTCTTTTTATAAAGCTACACAAATCTGCTAAGCTAATCTAGTGTGTTAAGAAGTCAGGAGTGTGTTTACCTTTGGTGAGGGGGTGGGGTGGGAAGGAGCACAGGGGAGACTTTTGGGCAACTGGTAATGTTCCATTTCTTGATCAGAGTCCTGGTAAAATGGGTGTGTGTTCAGTCTGTGAAAGTTCAACTAGCTGTGCACTTATGTTATATGCACTTGTTTGTTTGTTTTTGTGTGCGTGTGTGTGTTTTTAATACATTTTATTGATTTTTTTTACAGAGAGAAAGGAAGAGGGATAGAGAGTCAGAAATATCGATGAGAGAGAAACATCGATCAGCTTCCTCCTGCACTCCCACCATTGAGTATGTGCCCACAATCAAGGTACATGCCTTTGGCCCAATTGAACCTGGGACCCTTGAGTCTGCAGGCTGATGCTCTACCCACCAAGCCAAACCGGTTAGGGCAGTTGTTGGCAAACTCTTTAGTCAACAAAGTGGCAAACTGAGAGCCACTGGGTTAGGGCTAAATGCACTTGTCTTTATTGTATTACTAGAGGCCCAGTGCATGAAAATTTATGCACTGAGGGATGGTCCTTCAGCCTGGCCTGCCCCCCTCTCATAGTCCTGGAGCCCTCAGGGGTGGGAGGTGACCTGGCGATCAGGGGAAGGCAATGTCGTCATCACACTCTGCTACTGCCACTGCCAGCAGCGCAAGCCTTGGCCGGCTCTGTTTACCTGAGCCTCAGGTGGCCCTGGGTGGCTGTGCAGCTGCCATCCAAGACTTGCCTGTGCCTCGAGCCTGCCCTGGGTTGCTGGGAGGCAGGCCTGCAGGGCTGAGAGGACTGGGCACCGCCACTTGTGGCTGTGGGCACCACCACCTTTGAGGGTATGGCAGTCAATTAGCATATTTTCTCCTTATTAGACAGGATATTGCAATAAAAAATAACTTACTGAGAGGCAGTTCAATGGACAGTGACATGGAACATTATCCAAGGTGTGTACAACAGTTAAGTGGGAGATGCAGAAACAAGACAGCACATAGATTATACTTTTATTTGTATTAAAATAATGCATAAGCTTATAAGTGCATATGCAGAGAACATCTTTGTAAGAATATTGGAAGAGTTTTTGCCTCTGGGGTGCCTGCAAACAGAGATAGGAGAACATGCTCTTTATTTCTTTTTGTGCCTTTTGAATTATGTATCATGCGATTGAATATTTTATTCAATAAAATTATTCATTAAAATGTTAATTAAAGAAGACAATATGCTCAGTGAAATAAGCCAACAAAGGACAATTAGTGTATGATTCCACTTATGTTAGGTACCTAGAATAGTCAATTCATAGAGACAGAAAACAGAACGGTGGTTGCCAGTGGCTCAGAGGAGGAAGGGATGGGGTGTTTTTGCCTAATGGGGGCAGAGTTTCAATTTGGGAAGGTAAAGTTCTGGAGATGACTATTGGTGGTGGTTGCATGACAATGTGAATGTACTTAAAGCCACTAAACTGTATACTTAAAAATGGTTAAAATAGTAAACTTTATGAATTTTATATTATCTATATTTTGCCACAAGTAAAAAAAATTTAATATATTAATTGAAGCTAAACAGTCCTCTTTTTTAAATATATTTTATTGATTTTTGTACAGAGAGGAAGGGAGAGAGAAAGAGAGTTAGAAACATCGATGAGAGAGAGTCATCGATCAGCTGTCTCTTGCACATCCCCTACTGGGGATATGCCCGCAACCAAGGTACATGCTCTTGACTGGAATCGAACCCAGGACCCTTCAGTCCCCAAGCCGATGCTCTATTCATTGAGCCAAACCAGTCCCAGCTAAACAGTCCTTTTAGATGAGGTAAATTTACATGTGCAGGCTCTGTCATTTGCAAGCTGTGTGACCTTAGGTGGTTACTTAACCTCCCTGTGTCTCCATTTCTTTGTTTCCTGTCTATAAAGTGGGGTAGTACTAATCAAATGAAAGAATACATGTAAAGAGCTTAGAATAGTCCTTGATATGTCAGTGCTTAAGAAACGTTAACTTTTATCATTTTTACATGTTGTGATTTAGAAAAGCAAATTGTAGAATTCCACGTGTAATCTCATTCAATTTATATATATATATAATATATTTCAGTGATTTTTTACAGAGAGGAAGAGAGAGGGATAGAGAGTTAGAAACATCAATGAGAGAGAAACATCAATCAGCTGCCTCCTGCACACCCCCTACTAGGAATGTGCCTGCAACCAAGGTACATGCCCTTGACTGGAATCGAACCTGGGACCTTTCAGTCCACAGGCAGACGCTCTATCCACTGAGCCAAACCAGTTTTGGCCCATTTATATTTTGTGGAAAGAATCTATATGTGTGTGTGCACCTCATGTACTCACCGTGTATCCATCCCATATTTATCCAATACCTTCTCTGTGCTGTACATTGTGCGAAGGGCTGGGTGAGCATGCAGCGTGGGGTACAGAACGGTGGTAACCATGGGATCCCTGTTTACACAGAAGGTCACAGAGGAGATGACAATTCTGAGCAGACAGTAGCAGGACCCTGAAGGTTCCAGCCATACGAAGACAAAAAGAGCTTTCCTGACCCAGGAACTGGAATGCCGAGAGAGCCTGAGTTTGTAGGTTTCCTGTGGGTGAGTAAGGAGCAAAGTAGTGTGAGGAGAGGTTGGAATGTACACGGAAAAATCTGGGAAGATGGGAAGAAACTGTTAAGCATAGGTTCTGCTGGGGAGTGGGACTCAGGGAGGAGTGGGGAAGAGGGTGTGGAGTAGAGAAAAGGAATTTTACTTTTCACCTCTTTCCCTTCTCCACCATTTAGGGTAAAAGTATTGGCCATAAGCACGTATTTTGCTATTGGGTGAGGGAGAGACTAGTTAATAAAAAATTGAGGAATTTTAATGATTAATAGTAAGGAATCTAATAACTGTTCCTTCTTTTAAGAATCACCTTGTCTCAACTCTCCAGTCCCTCTTCGTGAAGCAAGAGAGTGGTAAATTTATATCTGCTCGTTGGTCTGAAAATAGGACAGACATTGCCTTCCCCTCCTATCTATTCAATCATCTTTCTTTTCGAGCCAGTAATACTTGTTTTCAATTCCCTTCAGTGAAACCCTTAAATCATCTCTTCCACTAGGACTATTTTTACTTATTTTGTTAAGGGCCTTTCAAATTCATGCAGGATTCTTACTCTGTGGTCACTGTAATGACAGATGCACCCAGTGGCAGGTGCTGGGCCCTTCCAATTAGAGTAGGGAGGAGAGAAGGAAGGGATAGGGACTGAGGGGCTGAGGGAGAAGGAGGAAAGAAAGCAACTTGCTAGTGAAATGAATCTCAGAGGCTCCATGGGGTAGTGTGCTTCCCCTTCTGTCTCCACTAGGGTGCCAAGTGCCTTGTCTAAGCTGGACAGGAGAGCGAGAATCCCCGCAGAATGTTCTGAAAGGCAGAGAGAGGTTCACCCTGTCCACGCAGAATCACAGCGGCAGCAAGACCGCTTAGACCCAAACCTTGGCATCCAGACAGCTGTGTTGTGTGCTAGGACAGATCTGAAAGCCAGCTACGAGGCCATGTGGATGGGCGTTTTGATCTGAAGTTTCCTGGCAGTTTCAATCCTCCCTCTGAAGCATCTGAGGTCAGAAAGGAGGAAGCCGGGGCCTCTGATCTGTTCATTTCATGGCTCTGTAGGCAGCTGGAGAAACAAGGTGAATAACGGCCATTTGTAGGCCCAGCCCTAGCTCCAGCTGTCTCCTCCGTGTTTATTCTCTGGATATTTTGATGCCTTCTTCCAACCTGGAAGAAGTACTTCAGTTGCAACTTTACCATTAGCATCTGGTCCTCAGACACTTGGGTGTCTTCTCTCCCAGGCCTCATCACTGCCCTTCTCAGGGTGTGCATGCCATGGCCAAGGCCCTCCTGCCCCAACAGCTCCGCGCTCTGCAGGGGACCCTGTCCTTCAGGCTGAACCACACAGTGCTATTCCCAGACGACTTCCTCTCCTCTATCACTTTGTGTTTAGAAACTTCACTCTCTGCCAACTGTGAGCTATAACATTGGTGATAAACTA